ACGCAACATTGATAGCCCAAGATGAAAATAGTCTGCAAAGTCACAGATTTAACATAAGAGCAAAAGAATTTAATCTCATCTCAAAAAACTAAATCAATAGTAGTCAGCAAAGAACCAACCAGCTGTAAAATAGAATTTGATGGCATCAGTATTAAACAAGTAATGGAAATGAAATACCTGGAAATTACACTGTCTAGCTATGGAGACCTGGATAAAAATGAGAGATTAAGTACAAAAAGCAAATAAACTGACGGGATGCCTTAATAACACTATGTGGCGAAACAGAGACTTCGTTACTCCGTGATAATGATGTGACACTTTCACACTTTTCACTTCTGTTTAAAATTTCTAGTTTTTGTTCAATCGTTAAAACACTCTTTCGTTTAACACTGGTTGTTGACATTTTGAAAATAAAATCAAGTTATAAAAATAATCAGACTAGCGACTGATTTCTGGTTCCAACTATGTAAATATGTACTAAATCTCATACATTCGACGCAACACGCAGGCAGCGTTTTTCCTTTCTCTTATCATTGGATGTACTCCAAACCTTCCTTTTACTACAGTGTTTCTTCATCGTCGAGTAGAAGAACAATTACACATCATTTTTGTCGCGAAAAGCGGGATCACATCTTACCGCACCAAACAGAAACGTTTTATGTAAGAAAATCTGAACGCCCAGTCCGATTGCTGGACTGGAAACGCTACGTGCCGGAAACCATACGTGCATGATAATGTGCTGCGACCTTAACTTAAAGGGCTAAATAAGGAGCTAGTACTGCTTTTATTGGGCCTGAACTATTCTGCGGTATTCCCAAATCGTGAAGAAATGTGTCCAAAAATGGAAAAAAGAACTTAATGCAGCCTACCGGGACAATATTCCAGGCCAGCCAGGTAAGCAGAAAGGTTATTACAACCTTCTACTCGCTATTTAAAAGTACTCTTAGAGCTTCAAAAAATTGAACTCAGAGTAATCACAGGTTACTGCTCACAGAGATCGCAGCGCTATCAATTGGGAAAAGTGGACAAATCAACATATCAAGCTACAAGTATAGCTCCAAGACAAATAATAAGCATTCTTAGTAGTCTAAAACTTTTCGGTCATATCCGAAACATCTTTCAGAACGCAGTGTGGAAAGCTGTACGAGGCTGAACGATCTCTTTAAAATCTTCAAATTTTCAAAGACAAAGGAATCCCTATTAACATTCAGATCTACAATAATGAGCTTAATACATTCATACACGTTAATTATTTTACACTTACGTTAACACTTTTATATTCTCCATGTCTACCAGTTTTAGAAATTTGGTCGGTGTTTCTTTCGTGTCAACAGCTTTTCTAATCTTTGACATTGTTTTATTATCTGTTTTACCTCTTCATTATTTCTAATCCGTCAATACCATATTGACTGGCAATGTAGTCTCATCATTATATATCCTCCCCAATATTTTCTCCTTGGTAAGGATGTAGTGGTGTCATGTAATTTGTTTGACTATTTCTGTCCAAATATCTCTCTCCTGTGCTTGTTGTTTTGCTTCGGAGAATAAGTAACCAGTCATCTCCTTTATTTGGTCCAACCATCGTACTGGAGATCTTCCTCTGGATCTTTTACCTACTAAGTTACCTTCAACTATCATTCGCTCCATGCCTTCTCTTCTTCTAGTTATATTTTGGACACATTCCATTCCATTTTTGGACACATTTCTTCATGATTTGGGAATACCGCAGAATAGTTCAGGCCCAATAAAAGCAGTACTAGCTCCTTATTTAGCCCCTTAAGTTAAGGTCGCAGCACATTATCATGCACGTATGGTTTCCGGCACGTAGCGTTTCCAGTCCAGCAATCGGACTGGGCGTTCAGATTTTCTTACATAAAACGTTTCTGTTTGGTGCGGTAAGATGTGATCCCGCTTTTCGCGACAAAAATGATGTGTAATTGTTCTTCTACTCGACGATGAAGAAACACTGTAGTAAAAGGAAGGTTTGGAGTACATCCATGATAAGAGAAAGGAAAAAGGAAGGTTAATTCTGGACTTTATACAAAGAATTAGATGATGACGATGAAAAATATTGTAGATATTTTAGAATGAATGGGATTCAGTTTGAATATATTTTAAATTTAATTACACCTTTAGTTAAAAAACCAAATCTCCATTTAAAGAAGCCATACATATCTAACCAAAGATTATTTTTAAAAAAGAAGAGGTACCACTTTCGTGCACAAGTCCGTGCACTTCTGTGATTAATTGTCACAAAGCAATGAAAACACATGCATAAATGCAGTGGCGAACCCAGAATTTTTCTGTGGGAGGGTTTGGTTGGTCACCGATTTTTTATGTTACCTCCATTTTGAGTCCTTAAAATTTGTTAGTAACAGTGTCGGAATGGTTCCGAAAAAAAACAAAAAATATACTGAACCGAAACGTAAGGTGACTGATACGATACGTTCCGGACAGTGTGAATTGTTCATATTTAAAACCATTTAAATTATATTTATTGTAAAGAAACACTACGGGTTGGAAACGCAAATAAAATTTACGGTTAAAACGCGAATATCGGATAATACCAGAAATACCTGGATATAGCTATAATTATTAAATCATAGTGTATAAAACTACATATGTGTGAGTATTTCGTTGTATTCAAATAAATATCGGTTTCTAATTACTACTTATCTATCTACTTATCCGGGCTGCGGATTATCCGTACTATTTAACATTGAATTGGCGTTTTATCAGAATGACTTCAATGTAAATTGCTACGCCGCGTGGGAAAGGCCCATCTATAGCGTCATTGCTCGGGGAATCCCTGGAAACCGGTAGCTTATAATATGCCGCTGCCTGCGTGTTACGTCGAATGTGCGAGATTTAGTACATATTTACATAGTTGGAACCTAGAAATCAGTCGCTGCTCTGATTATTTTTATAACGTGATTTTATTTTCAAAATGTCAACAACCAGTGTTAAACGAAAGAGTGTTTTAACGATTGAACAAAAACTAGAACTTTTAAACAGAAGTGAAAAGTGTGAAAGTGTCACATCATTATCACGGAGTTACGAAGTTGGTTAGCAAACAATACGCGATATTAATAGAAATAAATTGAAACTACAAAATTTTATATCTCAATCTGACTCTTTTAAAAACATATCTGCATAGAAATAGTTGAAAGGATCGACTTTCCAACAACTCAATGAAGCGCTTTCCAAGTGGTTTCTGCAGAAAATATCTGTGAGCGTACCAATTTCGGAACCAATGTGTGCTAAGCAAGTGGAGACTTTTCTCAAAAATTTGAGAATCAAAGAGACCTTTAATGTATCCAGTGGTTGGTTACATTGATTCAAAAAACGTCACGGAATTTGTGAGCTTACCATCCAAGGCGAGAAGCTTAGTGCCGACGGAGAAGCAATGATGGAATTTTGCTGAATGAGCTGGAGACCATAATTACAGAAAATAATTTACAACTTTCTCAAATTTGTAACGCTGACGAAACAGGATTATACTGGCGAGCAATACCTACAAAAAGTTTAGTTGCAGGTAATGAGATAAGTGCATCTGGGTATAAAAAAAAGTAAAGACAGGATACGGGTGTTGTGCCAATGCGTCTGGCAGCCATAAAGTGAAGCTGACTGTGATTGGAAAATCAAAAAATCCTCGCGCTTTTAAAAATATGAAACGAGAGAATCTCCTAGTTTACTATTATAACCAGAAGGCTGCCTGGATAACTTGTGACATTTTCAAAGATTGGTTCCATGAAAAGTTCATTCCTGAAGTAGGGTCGCCCAATGAGGCGACCCTAAGATCTGACGATGAAAATTTCTTTGTTGTTTTTTTTTCCAGCCAATATTACATCCATTGCTTTAACCAATAGATCAAGGTGTTATTGAGACAATGAAACGACTCCAGCGAAAATAATTTATAATGAACTTGTTGGATGATGTTTTATCTGATAAAGTTTTGGAAATCGTTCACCGTAAAAGATGTACTTTTTACAAAATAATGACGCTAGAGGAAGATGAAAGGATCATGGAATATGATGATAAAGACACTACTATAGCTGAACTAACTGTACTAGTGCGCAACGTCGATGTGTTTGAAGAAATTGATGAAAGCAAGGTTGAGAGATGGACAGATTGTGATAAAAATGAGTCAGGCTATCAGCTCTTCAGCAACGATGAAATTGCCGAAATGGTTTCCCATCAGCCCGGTACGTCACAACCTGATTCATCCGAAAACGAGAGTTAAGATGAAACCAATGATGGAACATTATTAATCGACAGATTAACTAACCAAAAGGCTGAGGAAGCTGTCAATGTTGTAATAGACTATTTTGAGCAACAAGAATCTTCAGACTTTGTCTATATTTTAAATTTGCGTAAAATACGTCAGAAAATTATAAGAAATCGAAAACTTAACACAGGCCAAAGTGACTATTTTTTTTTTCAAAAGCATAGCCACCTAAAATATGTAATACCTTTATGTAGTTTTTATTTTTATTATTTAATATAAAAATTTAGTTTGGTAGAAATTTGTTTTTTGTTCTGTTATGTATGTTTTTATGTATTATAAAAGTTAGTTTGAACTTATGGGTTTGATTTTTTCTGTTATCTTTTTATGATAGTCAGTTTTTTTGTATATTTGTATATATGCATGTACGTACAATGTAAATATGTACAATATACATTCAAAAAATGTTTGGATTATCCATGCATTTCAATTATCCGTGCCACCGGTATATATATATATATATAATATATATATATATATATATTATTTATATATATATATATATATATTATATATATATATATATATATATCTAAAATAACCTGGATAAATTAAGAAGTTATCAATCTCCTTCGGCTTTTATCCAGCTAATTTGAATAATACGTAAATTATCTGGGTAATATAATTTCGGGGTTTACCCGTAACATATACATAGCTTTTATGTAATATTTAAATAATTTTTTAATTAAAATATTATTTGGCCCATATCACTCACCTGAGATTCTTCTAAATATTTTAAAACGTCTTGATAATGTTCAGCACAGCTCATTTTTTGAATTTACTAATTGAGAGGCTTTGGAATCCATATTACCAAGTAAATCTGTAACAAACAGTGACAGGAATTTAGTTAAATTATATAGACATATAGACATAGTTATATAGATAAAAAAATAATAACAAATATACAATAAAACAAAAACATCGATTCCAATGCATTAGATATATATTTATAATGGGTTGAATCTAAAGTGAACCCTTTCTTATAAGCAATAACCCATAAACCCGCCTTCTAATATCCAGGTTCCTAATATTTGATATGTTTTGAGACAAACAAATGTTTTTTAGACAACACCTCATAGTCAGAAGATACTCCATCTTGTTTATATCGGTCAATGTTTTGATCTGAATCGTAAGACATAGGTGATAAGTTTTATTGACGAGAATCAAAAAATATGGCCTAATTAAATATTTAAGACCTTTATAAAAACTCACTTCCTTTGCGGAAAAATACAAAAAATGTATATAAAAGCTGCATTCTTCATCTCTAAAACGCATTTTGATTTTTGTTCATTCTACATAAAAAGTACTAATAAATATTTTTTTATTTGAAACATTTTTTAAAATTTTCTCCCCTACGAGGAGGCAAAGCAGGGGAAGCCGGGGGGTGGGGAGTTAGGAGCGGTACTTTTCTGCATTTTTTTCCTTATGAAATAGGACTTATTGCTATCATATCTATAGATGTTATCAATGCAAAATGTTTTTTTAACACCAACCAGGAAGTTATCAAATTTTGGAAGCAAATTCTTTTAACTTGCAGAATACTAACAATTTAGATATCTGGATCTGATGTAATTCGACAATATAGTATTGAGTTTTTTCAAATTATGTGCCTATTGACTCCAAATTTGACACACCGTATATTTATATAAAAGAAGTACATATCAAGTCTCAAGATTTTACGTCTTAACTATCCTGAGTTATCTAAAAATTTGTTGACCATTGACCTATTGACTTCAAATTAAATATAATCCTTTCTTGGACTAAAATAAACGTATGTTCCAAGTTTAACGAGTCTGAAAGTTTTTCTTTAAGACTTACGGCACAGACAGCAAACGGACAGACAATTTTCAAGAAAGACCTTTCGGGTTCTTAATAAATGACACTAGGTTATATTTTTGAAGGTGAATTGGAAATAGCAATAACTTAGACTCAAAGATCCGTTAACAACCCCAGAAATGTGACAAAACTACATGTTCAAAGAAACAATTTTCTTTTAAATTTATAGGGCGATTATTATTATTTTATAATAAAAACTTTCGGTAGATCATAGACGATAATATCAGTTCAATAAACAAGTTTTAGATTAAAATAGTACACCGACTATATCTTGTTACTTACTACATATGGAAGCTGGTTTTCAAAGAAGATTAAAGAGTTCTGTAGCTTTTATCATTCAGTCGCGTTCGACAAAGAAGAAATGTTATACAAACTCATCTGCAAAATTTACTTTGAAATTAATAGAAAATATATGTTTAACGACAAAATATTTGTAGGTTCCAGGGTCTAAAGAAATCGTTGGTAGCGAAATTGTTGATAGTCCTGCTAAAGAATGAGCTACTGCTCCTTTTATTGGGCCAGAAAATACACATAAAGACATGCACATCTTCACCAAGTAGAGCCGCCAAATCACCAAACAGCCCACAATTGGCTCATCATATATTAAGATTGGTTGCTGCGACTAATGCGTTTTCCAAACCCAAACTGTAACACCATTGTCGCAGGAGACGCATGGCACAGGGAGGGAAGTATTATCTAAGCGATACTCCACACAGTATCTGAGTAACTGGGAGATCATAGTCTAGCCATGGTATGGAAGCATTGCTTAAATCTAAGTGTGTATAAAAAAATAAATTAAAAGATAACGAGTTGAGAGGGCAACCCATCCGTGCTGTTTGTCTATATTCCGAATAGATCTTGACCTTATCAGGTTCCTACAAATCTTCAGCGGAATAAGGCAGCTTGGGCATGATATCCTTGGGAAATAGGACTACGTGAGCGGTTCTAATCACTGAGAAACCACATCAAAAAGGTAATAAAAGGCGGACACAATATTACTGTTATATATTATATATAACAGTAACTATAAAAACACAAGAGATACAGAAAAATACCACAAATGAGAAGGTAATACCACAAATGAGTAAAAAACGAGTGGGTGGTAGATAAATAATCAATACATAAGAAAAGAAAGCATGATAAATAGAAGAAAGCAACTGTATCCAATACTGAAAATTAAAATAGATTAGGTATTACAGAAGTTAGTGTATTATGAATGAAATTGTTGTATATCAGTGATGACTTGTTAGGGATATGACGATATATTATAGAGTATTAAGAACTACGCGAACTAGTAACTGCAGAATAGAACCAGTAACATATTTATTTTTTAGAAACTTTATTTTTCTCCCGTTTACCCTACATAAAACTATATTTTTTCTATATATATAACCTAATATTTTATTTCCACAAAAAGCGTAGTTTATTTCAATTCAGGAAGAATGACGAAGTCAAACATTTCCGTATTTTTGGTGTAAACAAACTGATACTGTAGTAGTAGATGTTTTAGAGATAAATCAATTCTTCCTGATTAAACAATTGTATTTAAGATTTCAAATATACAACATAAATCCACATTTCTCTTGTAAAATCATAAGTAAAATCTTTGGTACAAGAATGGTACTTACATTTTTGGCAAAATTACATTTGATGTACTGTTAATAACTAATTTTACCAGAATTCGCAGGTAGAATTCCCACTTAACACTACATGTAGGTAGACCCAACGCTTTAATGATGACTTATTTATAGGTAAACGTAAACAAACCAGAGCCATAACGTGCCGATAACACTATTTGGCTAAGATAAGTCGACAGCATAGGCGGATCCCGAAAGGATCTGTGGGTTTCCGTTCAATTCCTACATCAGAAGAGGGATACCTATTTTTTATATCCCCAAAATCAGAAGAACTCGCAAATAATCCGCCGAAAAAAATTAAATATGCTGAATTAAATTAATTCAGAAATGTAACCACACGATTATTAAATTGGAACTACTCTGAAGTTTCGCCGTCCAGATTATGTTTTGTTGTTTATATTGTTTGTTACTGTATATTTTCAATTTGAGTTTGAATGATTTTTCCTGAAGAAAGAGTTTACAGACAGTCTGTTGTTATCAAACTAGTCAATTAGTAGATCACCTCTTTATTTTTTTACCTATTTTAGCATTAACTACACTAATCATGTCGGTACTTTTTTAGAAATATACTTTTACTTTTTTACAAATATCTTTTTTATTTTTTAATGTTATAATCACCGGTATTTAGAATAAATGCCTTTTTTCTATTCTTTGTGTGGATCCTACATATTTTTCAATTTTATGGGCAATATCGTAGGTTTAAGCGGTGCTGCTCTGACTTTCTCTAAGCAGATAATGCACTCATTATCAAGCTGTTGACTAGTAGAAGGAAACTACTTATACAAGCAGTCACTCGGTCTCCATGCTTCTATACTACGCTGTGCCTAAAAGTCGGGCTGTCACTTCCGTCGAATTCGTTGTTTTGAAATTTCTTATTCGCCTTCATCGCCATTGTGGTTTTCATGTCGAAGGAAATGTAGTGACCCGTCTGCCCTCGTAAACCTAATAGCCATTGCAATTCGGAAGAAACGAAAGTTAGCCAAGATAGCCTGATAGGAAATATTTAAAACATTTCACTCTAGACAAGTTGAAAATTTGTAAAATGTGAAGGCCCTTATGATACACCAGGTACGCTTCATTCTTCACTGTCTCTTTTTTCTGTACGGTTAAATTATATTTAACACGCAAGTTGTTATTGGGTATCGTTAGAATAAAAACACTGTTTGTAAACCAATACGAGATCTGGTCTATTATGTGCCACTCGTCTGTCTGTCACCACATTATGGTGACAGTATAGCTTGTAGTTGCCATGTTCAAGCATTTTATCAGGGACATATTTATAATAAGAAATATAGTACGGCATATTATAATAGGTGATTGATCAAAGATGGAAAAAGGAATGTTACAATGGTTCCTCACCAACCTCAGGAAAAGATGAAATAGACCCAATAGTACGTATATCTTGAACATGACATCCGAATAGACAAGGATAATTAAACCAGTCAAGTCTTAAGAAGAGTAGGGTGGGTGTGCGGCTTAAAAACGTATTTAAATAAAATTTACCAAATATTCTGAAGAAAAAGTCCTCGAACAGTGTGTACTGCCAAGAATGAGCGATTGTGCAGAGACACTTTTACTCAGAAGAAAAATGTTTCAAGACGTCACGCTGAAAAACAAGATCAGAAATGAAGATCTACAAATTCAAAGTATCTATATTGACATATGTCATAGGACTGGAGTGTTAACTGAAGTGAAAGTGGGCTAGCTATCTAAAAATGACAAAGGAGGGAAGGTGACCCTGAAAACTATTGGTCTAGAGACCAATGATGAAAAAAATCCCCATAGCGATGACAAGTTGACGCATTAAAGATAAGCAAACATTTTGGATACAAACAGGGGAGTCTATGTCCAGCAACGGATATAAAAGAGGCGTGTGATGATGATCTATAACTTTAGCGAGCATTGCATAACCATAGAAAAGTTTTAGAATATAAAAGTTTTATAATATAAAGGTTTTATAATATAAAAGTTTTATAATATAAAAGTTTTATAATAATGTATAACATGATATCTAAAACATTATTTTTGTTCTATTTGGCAGTACCTAAATCTATGATATCAAATATTTAGAGAACATATCGCAAACTGCTCATATACTTATTTACTATTTGACGAATTATCAGTTTTTAATTAGTAAGATTATCCAGATTATCAGGTTTTGTTTTGTAAACAATTTTAAAGTATATATATATATATATATATTATATATATATATATATATATATATATATATATATATTATATATATATGTCTATATATTATATGATTCCAACCACAATGTTGAAGCTCAATTTAACCGTTATTGATGTATTCTACTATTTTGAAGTCAATGTCTTGACGATGTTT